GCTTCAACATATTACAGGTATCTTATTTGCATGTGCTTCAACATATTACAGGTATCTTATTTCTTCTAAAAATGTGCACCTCCAAAAATCTGAAACAGTGAAAGGTTATAAACATAGCTTCTTGACTAAATCAAACTACCCAATCAAAGCAACATACAGCATATTTAAGAAGATCACGTTCATTTTCTTTGCCCGATCCAAATGACATTGCTTATCATGCTTGGCATTGATTGCCTTCTACATCCAGGAATAAGTGTTCAGAGCTGAGTCACAGGCCTTAATATCCTACTGTTGGATTGCATCCAATGATCTGCAGACTCGGATCATCATGTTCAGCCAACGAATGACCATTGTAGCACAAGATGGTTTTGCTGGAATGGCTTTTTAACCTCTGGAAAGCCACGTGAATTACTAAAATACCACTCATGACTAGTTTTCAAGATTATGCTTGAATACTGCCAAAACTGGAGTGCTTTGCTCATAGTTTTGAGAACAGGATTTCTACTGCAACCAAATTTTAACTGGCCTTCTAACTGTATAAATAAGCAGATAACAGAATGAAACTATAATGTAATCTGATTCTGATCATAAAACACCAGTACAATAGCAATACTGCTAAATATATTTGTAATAATCTTAAATCACAAAGCAGCCTTTAAGAGATAGACACTTCCAAAGTTACAGCTACCTGCAGAGCTGGTACATACTATCATTAATGAGTGAGTTTAATAAATTGACAAGTAAAGCCCAATAAAATTACTAACAAACAATACTGATTGATGCACACGGCAATCAATTTGCATTCTATGAAAAACATTGCTTTTAATAAAAACAAACTCAAGTCTAAATATTAATGGAGAAGCCAATTGATAACGATGTCTCCGCATATATGCCGTGAACAAACCAAAATCAATTCCTTCTCTATTTAATTCTAAGGTCTCACTCTCCCAATAGCCAGTGGGTTAAATCAGGGGTCCCCAACCCTCGGTCTGTAGACCGACACCAGTCCACGGCATGCCAGAAACCGGTCCGCTCAAACAAGCAAAGCCCCAATCGTGGGGTGGCAGGTAGCATGCGAAACCACGCCACATCCAGTGCGCGGAAAAACCTTTCTCCACAGAACCGGTCCCTGGTGCCCAAAAGGTTGGGGGCCACTGGTTTATATAAGTGCTCCTTCCTTCTTCCCCCTTTATAGAAGGGGTCACATGCTGTCCTGGCTTCAGTACTATCACTGTTGTTAAGCCATTTAGGGCCTACATTAATCAATATATTAAAATATATCAGAAAACAAGTTTTGCATATAGTGGTTAAGGTACCAGGCTAGAAACTGGGACGCTGTGAATTATACTCCCCGTTTACAGTAATTTTTAACAGTTTCCAGTTCTCACAGCTCAGACTATATAAACAATAATCCAGACAAGTTAACTCCCACTTTCAGCGAGTTGAATAAGCTTGGGTTCCAATTTACATTTTATTTTTAAATGCCATATGATTCCTGAGCCTATGAGCACGACTTTAGAGGATGGTTAGAAATCTAAATATCAGCCATATTAACATCTGGCTTCCTCGCTGGATGTACAATGGCTTTATTCAGGGGTGGGATTCAAAAATTTTAACAACAGGTTCTGTGGGCGTGGTTTAGGTGGTGGGCGTGGCTTGGTGGTCATGTGACTGGGTGGACATGGCTTGGTGGTCATGTTATTGGCTGGGTGTCGCCAACTCAATATCACTCACATCGAGGCACGCATTTCCTCGCCTAGCCCCTCATGACTGTGGGGATGCTGCAACAGTCGTAAGTGTGAAAAATGGTCATAAGTCACTTTTTTCAGTGCCATTGTAACTTTAAATGGTTACTCCACACAAGCAAAGTATCAGCAAAGGAGCGGGGAAAAAGTACAGAGAAGTTCCAGAGACAGGAAGTTTAGTCCTGCCAAGAATGTAATAAGGGTTAACGGAGAGGCAGTTTCTGTAAGCAACACCAGAATGTTTCCTTCCTGCCTTCCTTACAGGATTAGGCCAGTAATTTCTTCTAACAACCGGTTGTCCGAACTGCTTACATTGTTAACAACCAGTTCTAGCGAATAGGTGCAAACTGGTAGAACCCCACCCCTGGTTTTATTTATTAATTCATTGTTTCTACATCTCTGGTCAATGAATTGGCAGCATTAAAGTCAGTGTATCCATAAAATTCATTAGAAATGTGTATATATATATTTAGTTGTGAACAAAAACAAAAGCAAAAATATTTCAGGTAAGTATATTGCCAGTGAAATTTATCAAAAGAAAGAATCTAGTCGGAAGTCACCCAAAGTCTGGAACACAAAATAAGACAAAACAGCCTTCTGCAATGTAGGTTCTGTCCAGTAATTCAGATCCCAGGAAAGGTTTGTGCCAATTGTGGATTACATCACCAGTCAAGCATCCTGGAAGGCATTTCAGTTCTTTGTCTAGCAAATAAATCTTGGGTGGTATGATATATGATATGATATGATATGAGCAGAAATGCAGCAAATGACAGGAATTTATTTCCAAGGCAAGACTGACTTTCAATTCCCTTTTCTTTCTTTTTGGTTAGGGAGCAAAGTAGAAAAATCTTAGTCACTTAACATGCTTATTTTAGAGAAATAATAAAAGTACTTTGTTCAAAGGATAAAATCAACATCTTAACGAAACAGCCAGGGCAACAACAATGCAGGCAGAAGCATTAGGCTAGTCATAGACTGACACAGACCAGGGATGGTGCTTATCATGCTTGTAGGACGAGCAGTTACTGGGTCTTCAGAAAGAACCTTTTGGCAAGTTAAGTTTCACATCCTTTTACAAAAATATGCTAAAACAGGTTAACAGTCCAGCTGAGATTCTTATGGTAGACATCAGCAGCTATTCACGCATGGAGATGGTTGGCCAGAAGTGGCACATATTTTTATTCTTGTGCATGTTACTTGTGAAGATGTATAAATTTGATGTAGAAATCTTTGTCCAATCACTTACTTCTGCTAACAATTAGCAGAAAATTTGCTTGAGAATAATTTTCCAAGGGTAATTGGCTGACAATTTGGTAAGTTAAAAAACACACTACAGGTAGTCCTCGACTTACAACCACAATCGAGCCTGGAATCTTGGTCATGGAGCAAAGTGGTTGTTAAGTGAGATGTCAAGTGACTTTG